TAATAATACACACACTTGTAAAGTTACATATAAAGGTCCAGAATATGTATTAGTCAACATCACCGATTATCGATTCTGTGAGATTAGCGAGAAGGACTTGAAAGGTCATAATCCTATTTTTAAGAAAGTATCGAATTGTAAAGAAAACTTGAAGAAAATTGAGCTTTGGAAGAATGAAGTTTGTTTCAGCAATAGCCCTAATGTTACCACATACGCAGAAACGATTCAAGTTAAACAAATGGGAGAGCAGTATTTAATACATTGTGCAGGACACAATTACTTTATATAGTAATATTAAATATATTTGTCCAAATAATGTGATAAGATTATCAAAATATACTAATTTTACTATCGATGACCTAGAATATACAGTTCAAAAGTTCCAAATTCATAGTCAAGGTTCACCGGTATCAGAACATACACATGCAATCAATTTACGATTAACTCAACCATCGGCTAAAGAATTACAAATTGAACCACTTGATTTCATTAATCGATGAAGCTCAAGAGAAAATTGAAACAAGTATCAATCATCTTAAAATCAATTGGAAAATGAATGTACCAATGTGGATTTGGATACTTATTAGTATTACCATCAGCTTCTTGTGTTGTGTTATTGGTTGTAGATTAATCCCTTATCCAAAAAGATCAATCAACTCTGTGATAGTAAATAGAGAAAATAAGGAAAATAAGGACATTATTATACCTTTACATCAGTGTTATTAATACAAATAAAATCAATGCTCCGGTGCTGGGGCAAGTTTTCGAAATTCTCGAGTGATGGAGATAAAATTACTAATGATAATGATAATTTACTTGGTGATGGATGTACAATTAACTAAATAAAAATGTTCTTTTCACCCGGTGATTGGGTTTTTGAAATCCTATTGATAAAATTTTAATTAACCCGGTGATTGGGTATTGAAATTCAAATTTATGATAAATTTCAATCAACCCGGTGATGGGTAATTTATTACTTATTATTCAAAACTCCGGTGATTTGGGGTAGATGAATAATTGAAGTTTTCTTCTTTCTTTTCTTTATTTTACAATTAGGATGGAAGAAGACGATTGGAATGCAACAAATGCTCCTCCAGATCCAAAGCTAATCGCTTTCCAAAAGAAGATGGAAAATTTACAACTAAAAAATACCGGTCCAGGTTTCTTCATTTCTTCAAAACAACGAAAGAAAAATCATAATGAGTACACAAATCAAATCAAGCCAATTTCACCGAGTACAGTATTCAGAAAATGTTATCTGATTTTGTCGATCTTCGCCACTAAATACACTAATTACTATGGCCATGTTTGGAGACCGGAGTTAGTATCACCTGATTATGATATATGTGGTACCCCAAAAGAAATGAACAAATTTACAAAATTAACAGTTACAGCGACTCACTCGGATAAATTACAAACCGCTCACCAAAACCTATTGTCTTATACCAGAAAACTGAATTATCAAAATAGTAGAAACTCTACAAAAATCAACCTTATTGACTTGCCAGAAAGACATTGCTCCTTATGCTTCCGCTTTAATCACACTAAGATTAATTGTGAATACTGCTCATACTGTAGTGAACCTGGTCACTTGAGGAAAAATTGTCCTGATTTACCTTTTAAAACTGACCAACAAGTGAATATTAATACCGTGATAAAAACTAGCCCATCCAAATATTCCTATGCACGAGAACAACGGCGAGTTAAACGCAGAAAATTAAGGGAAGCATATGGAGGTAAACCATTTTGGAAAAATCTTAATAATCCAATACCTGAACATTTAGAAAAATATGTTCCAATTGGTCCAAGAAATAATAAAAAAGAAACATTATCTCTCGACATCGAAGGTGACGGAAATAATGGTGTAGGAAGTGTTCATTTATCAGGATGGTTTGGAAATGAAATTCGAATACAAACGGTATATTATGCTCAGGTTAAAAACACTACAATATCAAACCCTAATACTCGAATTACCGGATTACAAATTAATGACCTAGCTACAGGGTTAAGTCTTGACGAGATATGTATGCAAGTACGAGAATTGGCCATCGGAAGACGATTATTAACCCAAGGAAAGGATGATCTAAATAAACTTGAATTGACACCATCAAAATTAAAAGCTTCATTCATCCAACACGTTGATTTACAAGACCTTTGGCCTGGGTTACAACCAATAGGACTAGTTTCATTGGATAAGTTCTTATTTTTTAATCATCAAAAATTACGTAGAGATGATGATAAACATGTAACCATTGGACATTCCCCTGAGAGAGATGCTCGAGTCACTCTTAAAGCGTACATCGAATTACAAAAGATGAAAGATAAAAATATTCCTATACCCACAGCTGAAGTCGTTCGAGACATGGTAAAAGCAGGGCAAAATATTCATCACTGGCTCCAATTACATTCAAATAATCCGATCGAAATAATCACTCTAGACTGATACGTCTGTCAACCTTAATTGTATTAACTCTGTATTTTAATATCGTTTACTTTTTTTATATACTTTGTAAATAATGTCCGGTGATGGATAATATTATATTAATTAATTTCCTAATAATTGTAAATCAACGGGGACGTTGATACTTTCTATGTACGAAGAACTGTAAACTGGTTACACCACCAGTTCTTTGTTCAACCAGGTACCACCTCTCACGTGGTACCTGGTTATCCTTATGGATGAAATTTGAGGAAGAAGATGAAGATAAGGGAAGATAATCTCCTCACTAACCATATAATGGCCAGTTTTCGGCCATTTTAGGTATGGAAAATCAAGGAAAAGTTACCCAAGTGCCGCTCTACTTTTATTAATAAAGTGTTTATGTGGCAATTAATTGCAATAGTTTTATAATAGTTATTTTCTTTCCAGTTATAACACAAACAATCAAATCAAAAAAACACCTCTAACCGTAACTGTGAAGGTGTGAAAAAATTTATCGCGTTCATTATCACGATTTGAAAATATTCCTATTACTGAATTCCAGGCTGAATTTTACTGAACTCAGAAACTTTCATTCTAATCTTAATGGCTGTTAGAAACACGAAATGAAGTCAAACTGATCTCTTTTTTCACTTATGATCCAAAAAATTTTGCCGAACCATTTAAATAGTAGAGAATTTTATTTGTACTCAACCTGTTTAGAGTTGGTTTAATGTACAGTAAAACCTCTGATAATGGTACTGAGTGGAAATAACTTATTCTCACTATTTACACAGCATTCGTACGAACAGAAATCATTTATTAATCAAAGAAGTTTTCATAATCAAAAGTAAATTGTGAGAGTAAATCTTTCGAGAAACAGCTTCCAGAAGAAATATTTGTGAATTGATTGAGGGTGATTTCTGACTAAACTAGTTGTGTTCGATGGTAGAAACTTAAATATTATGTTTTCAAACTTGGAAAAATCAACTTTGTGTCCATAGAAATCATTCAATGATTGATGAGTTTTTACCTCCTGATTGATTAATCAATCTTTGGTTTAAATTTGTTGGCCATTCATCAAATAGACTCGTGTTGGTCCATAAATTTTATTGAAATTGATAAATAACATTAACTTTATCAAACATATTTCCCTCGCGATGGATAATCGTCCCGATTATTCAGTGTTTGTTATTGTTTTTTCGAGCTCTTCAATTAAAATCTTGCAATTTTCATTTTTTATATTGACACTCAATTCTCTAGATAATTTACGCAAATGAACTCGAGCTTGTTCTCTGTATCGTTCTTCTTGAAATTTACCAAGTATCAGTATCTGGTTCGATTTTGATATAATTGATATGAAGTGAACGATACAAACAATACGACACTTTCAAAGATTTTATCATTTCTTCAAAATTGCCTGACAGCATAAGAACTTTTAGTTAAGTTTTGCCTAGGTAGATGTAATATCGCAAAAGGGTGCGGTAAAAGTGATCTATATTTTAAAATCAACTGAAACTGATTGATTTTTGTTTTAACATCCGAAATTGATATCGAATCAATTTTAATTAATTCACTTAAATTGGTTGACTCTAATGGGTTACGACAATGTTCTGACTATCAACAAAAAACTGTTCGAAATCAATTACCAATTCTCTTATCAGTTTTTCAAAAACAATCGATATCATTGATCACAATTAAAAGCAATCTAAATGTTCAGTATTGTAACAAATTGTAACAAATTGAACCTAATAGATATCTAGAGAATTTATCAGATTGTCAAATGGATACACATTATAACAATGTAATCACAATAATTTTATCAATAATTTTTTAGATAATCGAGGTTGTCACGTAGGCGTAGAACATAAAATGTTAGATTGAATGATGGTAAACAAAATAGAATGAATTCGTTTAGAGCCGATGTTATTTTTAGTACAATTTTTCGGTTTGGCTCACTTGTCTTGGTACTTCGAAGTTCGAACATACATATTTACAGGACTTCTGATCTAAGAATAGAAAGGTTACAAACAATTGAAATTTTAAATAATACAATAAAATAAATCAACTCAAGTCTCCAAAAATTGAGCTGATACTCAATCTATCACTAGTTTAGATGTTTAATTCAAGTATTAATACTAATCCAAAAAATTGGCTTTATTAGTTAAATTCAGTAGGTTGAAATTGAAAGGTTTACCTTTCTGTATTTTAAACTTAACGTTTCATGGTATGTAAATGGAGCACAATTAATTGGTTCATTATCAACTTGAATTAGAACCCATGAAAATTCATCAATGTTAACAGTTGATTCAATTAAATCAAGTTATTCTGGTAACTTCACAGGTAGTGTTTTAAATTATCATTTTGTTATACTAATTAGTCAGAAATCGCCGAATTAAGTCTCAAATTTTTCATTGCATAGTAAATTTATCACGATTAAAATTCTGAAATTTAGACTTGTAAAGTATCAAGTTGTTTTGGTTCAGATGCTAATATTAATAAATGATATATTAATATAAAGCACGTTTGATTATCGATTACTTCTGAACGAAAAATTGGATGAAAAGTTTGATTAGCTCAGTTTGTTAAATAAACTTAAGACTTTTTTAATGGTCGGAAGAAATTTTTTCATTTAAATGTACTATTTTCAAGTTGACTAAATGTTTTCAGTTTGATCCATTTGTCTTGTCCATTCGAACGAACTGGTTTCTCGTTCCGACGAAGACATTGAATTAAACTTTCGAGTGCAGGTTTCTTTAAGTTTTCCATTGATAAGCATTGGGAATATAAATCCAAGCAAAAGTCCAACGGCAATGAACAATATGATTATACCAAAAGTAGCTCCTCCGCTTGTTCCTCCAATGGTAAGTTGATCACTTTTAAAACTATTTCTTCCACTTAATTGTTGATTTTTGTATTCATAATTTTTACAAACTCCTGAATCAATCGGATTTGCTGATTTATCGTTAATTGTATATCCAGATAAACTACATGAACTTTTCCCATCGTTTTGAGGACAATAGTTGAACGATACACAAAATTCACCAGCATTTGTCCAACTAGCACAAAGAGCAGCACATTGATCCAAATTTAAATTAATCTCAGTGTGAAAAACTTGAGAGACGATTTGCCGGCCAGTGGATTTAAATAGTTCTGAAACTTTCGCTGAAATAATTCAGATATTGAGTTATATTAATAAAAATATTCATTTTCTCTTCAAAAAAATATGAACAATACTTACGAATATAAATGTCGCAATTGCTACTTTCCTGTGACATCGAATCAGTATAATATCCACTCAAAGTACAAGAACCATCACATTGTTGGAATGAGAAACACTCATCAGAGGAACTACACATTGAAGCACAATCATCGAGTGGAACATCAATAGCAATGCTAAGCGATTTTTTAAACTCTCTTGAAGATATCTTAATGTAATCTAATAGTCGGTTCTTTGAGTAAATTTTACAAGATTCATCTTCTGTCGTTCGCGAGGATAAATTAGCATGGATAATGTTTGATGTATGACAAGATGGTTTATCTGAATATTGACAATAAACGAAAGTCTCACAAAGATTGACATTATCATGAGCACAAGTACGATAACAATCCCCAAGATTGGAAACATCTTTGGCTAGTATAACATCACCATTAGAATCAATCAGTTTCTTGCCAGTCGCCACCAATACGAAAGAGTCTCTATTTTTATCTAACTCATAAGTTACGTCAATGACTTTCGTAAATACAAAATAAACAATGAAATCTTCGAGCAAATAGAGTGGTAGAGTGTTGCTACGAATATGATCTTCCAGCTTGTCAAGATGAATTTCATGTTTGAATTGCGAATAACTATTGATTGGATAATATATATCGCAAGTTGTTCCATCATCACTATTGACAAGGCGCTTTTTAGATAGCCGACTACAAATGCTTGAAGTTTTGTCTTGAGGATTGCAAACTACAATTACCCTTTTTGAAAGAATTATATAATCAGTATAAAAGTCAATAAATTACCATGAAAACTTACTCTTGGTCCATATAGAATCCAGCTTGTTTGTAAAGACAATCTCCAACTGATTCTGCATAAATTTCTGATAACCTTGAAATCGTCTTCTGAGACAATTTCATTCTCTCCTTATGTAAACTATCTGTTAGCAAACGAAAAAGCGAAAAATTATTTTCCATCTTCGATATCTACCCAAGTGTCATTTTAAATTTACCTTCAATATTGGGAATTTTCAAAAAGGTTACCAATGCTATGATATTTGTATTTTCGAAAACGAGTTCGATATCAGCTATTCTTCCAGGAGAAATGTTCTGTCTCACCAAACTGGTCTTGAGTTTGTTGGCAAATCCGTTATAATGACTTTCTGCATACTTTATACAGTTAAAATCTTCTTCGTCTTTGTCACAACTGAAGTAAATTGCCAAAGTCTTTCTATCATTTGAATCAGGGTAACAATCACTAAATCGTAGAGATAATTCAGCTTCATAATCTCGACCCGATTCTGCCTCTTCTAATCCATAATAATCTTTTATTTTCTCTTGGATAAATGTATAAGTTTCCTGGATAACCAGAGAAAAATATTAATATTCAATAGATTTATTTGGTTTTTCTCACTTACGTTGTTTACTTTTTTATAATTGTTTGTTGTAGTTCTCGCGAGAATAAAACCTTTGAATAATTTGGCATCGTACTGTAAAAGGTCCAAAATGTTAATCATAAAATGTGCGATTACCTTAGATACTTACTGACGAAATGAAGTAATGGCTGGTAACGAATTTGTCATATTTAACTCCCTCGAATTCATAATCGTAATCAACTCTTTCCCAAACATAAGTTTCGTATCCTGATCTCTATGTTTCATTTGGTTGGGAAAAAAATCTGAATATTAATGAAGATATTATTTTTTTTCCAAGTTAAACATCTTACAATGAAAACTTTACCAAGATATGAGTATTTATATGCGTCTTCATAGTTGAGGAAACCATATGAGGTGAATGTTCCGTAAGAACTTATTCCCGGACTATTCGGACCAACAGCAGAGTTCAAACAACGACCTTCTCTCAGTGATACATGTACAGTTCCCAAATTATAATCGTATAGAGATTCCGTTATAATCCCTTGTTCTATTGTCTTCAAACTTGTGGTTAGATCTTCACTGTTAACGAACATCTAAGAAATAGAATTTCAAGTTTTAGAAAATTCAAAATATTAATAGATCATAGAGATTAATTAAAATCGTTTGAAATCTAAGCGTCTTTTTGATTTCTTTAAATGGAAAGACTTTAACTGTAAGCTTTCCTTTAATTGGGAAACTGTTTTGAAAGTTTCGATTATTATTTGCAAAAGAGTCGAAATTTCATTTATAAGTAATGGAACTTATGATGAGTTTGAAATTCTTTTTCGGTTGTGTTTCATTCTTGAGATGTTCACTAATTATCGGTAATCTGATTTAATTTATTTTGGTGGAAGAATAATAAATCACAGAAGATGATATTTAGGTAATCTCAAGTTCTAATATGAAGGTTTGGTTGAAAATTATCACAATTTCCACTTTATTAATTACCTCACTTAAGGTTATCGATTTTCTGGGTCCATCAACAGTAGTTTTAGCAGTGAAATGATAGCTCGATTTTGACATTTCTGGTTCCATGAACCAATCATAAGATTTTGATGTTATGAAGTGCAAAGGACAACCGATTCCTGGTGTAACCTGAAGGTGATAAATTCTTATAATAACTCATGAAAAGTCTTGTATTCTTCTTACCGTGACAAACTTATCAAGCTCTTCCTGTGTTTTAGTAATTGAATAAATATCCAAGTTAACATTTTCTCTGAAAGTTACGAGCTGAAGAGATGAATCCATACCCACGAACTGTAATCGACTCGCTTGTAAAATTCCAGGAGAATCTAAATGAGCTTTATTAGAGAATTGGTAATGATCAACAATGTTAAAGACAAATTAAAATACATTTACACTTGAAATATTTTCTTTAGAAAATCGACTTACTTTTGTAATAATAAATAATATCAAGATTTCTATTGAACGTTGTCTTTGCAGAATGGACTGGAAATCCTCTTATATTTGTATCTCCTCCTTTTCTCTATTCAATCATTTATTTAACTTGACTTTATTATTTGAGTTCTAGAAAAGAAAATTAAATGATCACAATATTTACCCAATTAAAACTCTTTCCATTGATCCTGAACAGAATCGAAGGTCCCGTCAACAGTACATGATTAAGAAGAGGCTTTTTCGAATCGATGTTAAAAAGAAAGTTGTCCCATTGATTTTTGAAAGTAAATTTAGTACATTGTTGGTCTGTTGATACGTAAAAATGATTAAGAACACAAAACCATTCGTAAATTATCACTTTTACAATACTTACTCTGAATAACTAATCTATCGTTTTCGAATTCACTGGAATAAAAAATATCCAACTTATCATCTCCTGATGATATTGTAATTTTACCGCGAACAACTTCACTTGAGTGAACGTACTCTCGAATATCGTAAACTTGATCACTAGACTAAATTGAATATTCCATTAACTATCTAAGAATCATTAGAGAATAATTGAAGATCCACTTACCGAGATTAACTTTGCAGTTATTATCCAATTTCCTTTATCCACTGACCAAGGAAAATCGTGAAGAGATTCTAAGACAATTAAAGGTTGATTTTGATTAAGAGATGGATTTAGATTGTTAATGAATTGACAAAACTTACCAGTAGATATTTGGAGTATATAAAAGTTTGAGAGAAATGTAAAAGTAAACAAATTTAATAAGAGTGAAATCATTTCGATTTACTCAATGAATTAACAAAATGAAACATTGAAGTTACAAATATTCCAGAGATGAAAACTACCAGTCTTTTGAATAATCACAAACAGCGATAATTAACTAATCTTGTTTGTAATGTGATGATAATCACTAATAATTAATTTGAATCGATTGCAAAAAATTAGAGTCTCACTCATTTGTTTTATTTATCAATTCTATCCAATGATTTCGGTTTTTTACCCAATGAACCGAACTGCAAATGAACTAAGAAAATGATTAACATTATTCTGGGATTCATTGGTTATTTATTCAAATAATTAAGCTAAAATTGATCAATTGGGTGTCTAGTTGCTGGGCCAAACGTCACAATTAGACCGATTTGTAAACTTTCAGCTGATACAATTTGGAGCATTTTATTCATGATCATGATGTTTGTTTTCAGTGATGATAAAGACCTGATTTTCTACCTTGACAAATGGATGAGGTTTTAAGATAAATCAATTATTATCCACAACAAGATAGTTAAGGGTGTATTTTTCTCGTGTGATTGTCTATCTACAATATATTGAAAGTAACCATTCAAATCAAGGTAGAATTGATATCAGTTGATTTTTTGAATTACCAATGAAAAGTTCGTCGTGATTTAAATAAAATGAGTTTTAATGCAAACAATTGAACGAACCAGATCCAGAACAAAGTATTACATGTAAGGCGTTATTTCAATGGTAATTTGCTTAATACTGGGAAAAGAAGATGAAAACCAGAAGATTAAGTTTGATTGGAACTTATTTTTAATTTATTTATTCTTTTATTTATTTAATTATCAGAAAGTTTAAGGAAAATTTGACCAATCATAGGAACGAATTTGAATTGAATAAAATTGAAGCGCCAAAACTTTTTTCTTATCAAAAGATTTGGCGCTTTAACAAATTACGAATCCATTTGGTTTCATTTGTTTACATTCACAAGAAGGTTTTTCATCTGTTTAGTTGTGTTGATTGTTTGATTGTCTACATTTACTTTTGGTTTCATTTGATTTTCAAAATGTTTACTAAAAAGTCCAAATCAATTGACTCTAATCAAATCAATGAGAAAATAAAGAAACATTTTCTTGTTTCAATGCCTGAAGATTTTTTCAAATTCTGGTCTTTCTGTTCATCATTAAATCCACTTAATCCAAAAGGTAAATTGGTAATTTTCTTTTTCTTCAATCTCTTATCCTGAGTGTTTTCTTTTCTTTAGCTTCATTGAATGAAGTTGATATTCTGTTAGTTGGTCCATTTGATATAATTGATGGAAAATTAAACGATGAAACTCTGGACCAAACTGATCCGAATGTCCTTCTTTGTTATTATCGTTTCTTTTATGATGTTCCCGAGCTTCAGACTGTTCTTCGTGACCCAAAGTCTAATTTCCATATTGGTTATTTCAGGTAAATTTTCATCTCCTGTTTAAAGAAACAACTAGTTAATTGAATATTCTTTTCCATTTTATCCATAGAGATTCGCCCTCTGAAATGCCTTCAATGGTTGTTTCTAATGATCCAGACAAATCATGTCTCATTAATCCTCTTGGTGATAACCTTTTCTCAGGCCTATTGGCTCATTGGTAAGATTTTCTATTGTTATAAACAATCACCGAATAACAATTGAATTTTAACTCGTTCTTGTCTATGTCCAAAAGTGAGGATTTGGCCAGAAGAAAAAGTGACAAGAAGATCGTAACCGAAAAGCTCATTGGTAAAATCAAAAGTTTCGCTGAAAAAAACAATATTAGTCTAACTAACGATGAGATGAAAAGAAGAAAGAAAAAAATTGTCACCAAAAGCTTTCATGGAGCTGGAATTGTTGTTCCATTTGAAAAAGATGTTGGTTATCGACCTTTACCTGAATCTGATCGTGAGTTTCATGACACAACATTATCCTTGCTTTAACTAATTGATATCTTTAATTGACATAGAAAATCTTAGAAAATTACTCAAAAAGCTGATTGATTTGCCGGAAGAGGATCGACAAAGAAGCAAATCCTATGAATCATTGAAAGAAATTGTCAATCTAACCAATTTAGCCAATGACGAATGTGACTTTGGAATGACTTTGGAGTTAGGAATTGATCTTTTCTGTTTTGGTCATGAATTTTTCAATCGATTGATAATCTTCTTACTTGGTACTGCATATGAGCTTTTGGATAGACAAGAGTTTGGGACAATAATTGAAGCTCATATTGGAAATCGTAAAAATGAGAAATTGATGAAATTCAACCTAAGAAATAATCTCACAAGTTCAACATCATCTTAATTGTCAAACTGATTTTAAAGGATCACAGAAAAGTTTATTAATCAATTCACTTCATTCACTACATTTAAATTGTCTCTTTAAACGTCACTAAATGTATTCAACCAAAGATGCATTTTTTTTTTAAATATCTTTCAATTAAATTGAAACAATTAATACAATTGTAATTTCCATTCTCTGATCGTTTTTTTGACATACCCATCAGTCGATGTGTAGTTTGGATTAGCTGGTGTTGATTTCACTGTTTGATTCTCAGTACAAGGAATCAGATTTTGATCAAATTCAATTACTATTAGACCAAAGGTGAGATGAAACTTTCTTCAGCTCACCTAGAGCTTTTTCCTGAGAGGCAATCAAACCTCTGGCACATCGATACTCGGGTCTACTTTTGTAAGTCCGATACACGCTCCATAATTATGATAGTTACGAAAGTTCATCTCGACATTGGAATCTCTACTTGTGGCATTACAAGTTCTAACTTCAATCTTCTTTTGTAAATAAGGGGAAAGAGAAAGTTCAACAATGCAATTACTTTGTTCGTCTTTCAATTTTCAGAATATTTTTCGTTTTCAGTGTTTAAAACGATTTTTCTAAAAGTCTCATTTTTGACCATTGGCTATTTAAATCTCTTTTACTTAAGAATATCAAGATTTTATACATTTGTAACTCGAAAATAGATCATAACGGAAAGTTTAAAATAGAGTAGCATCGAATTTGCAGTTTTTTCGTCACTAATACAAATCAAATTGAGCGCTTTTGCTTTGCCTCTTCTCCACTTTTCGTTTTCTGGTTTTCACGGAAAAAGTTTTCTTTCAATCAAAACAATTGATTTAATTTAATGTCTCTGACAGAGACTCTCTGTTAATATTTGATTCTATTGTCCAGTGACAAAATTTCATGACTATAATGGTACAAGAAATGACAGTTATGTTACTGTTACCTGATTCCAACGGATAAGTGAACCAACTCAGAAACAAACAACTTTAATGTAAAGTTATTTTTAGTATCAATTGTTGCTCTCAATTAGAGTTTTTTTCTTGATCCTGATGTTAAACCCGTTTTTTTGTGCTAAACTTATTCTCTATCGTTCTTGGTGTTTGCTGGAGTGTTGTGATGACGATGGTAACTGTACCTGGCAGTGATTAGTTTTATGTGCTGTTGTCAACATCAAAATCAAGTTAACAAACCAATGAACCATCGATAGTCAAATCAATAGTTTTATTGGTGAATATTTTTTTTAGTTGGTCTATAGCTCGATGATTAAACAAAATGGACTCTAAATTTGTGATTTTTGGCCTATCCTGTGTTTTCTTTTACTTTTGCATATCAAATGTACTGTGTAATTCATGTTCCCCTCCAAAGAAAGATGAGAAAATTGTTCCTAAATCTGGTGATGGTCAGTGTTCCCCGACTCCTGAACCTCAACACGAATCATTTGCTACTCGATTTGCTGACTGTCCATTAAGTCCCGAAGTTGGTGAAGGTCCATATTTCATTGAAGAAGATATCATTCGGTCCAATATTATTGAAGATCGCGAAGGAACATCTCTCAATCTTACTTTAAATCTAATTGATTTCGCTACATGTAAACCAATTGAAGGAGTAAAAGTTTACATTTGGCAACCCGATTACTCAGGTAATGTTATTGTATCGATTTTCTTTCAAAATTAAGACTTAATGATTTACTTTTTCATTTGTGTTAACATAATTTCAGGCATTTACTCGGGATTCATGGATAAGCCAAGGATAAAACGAGAAAAAATGTATCCCAAAGATGCCAGAAGATTCTTACGAGGAGCTCAAATAACCGACGACAATGGTACAGTCTCTTTCGAAACACTATTCCCAGGACATTATCCAGGACGAACACCTCATATTCATTATCGAGTCCACACTAAAAATGGAAACGTCGCTCATATTGGTCAAATATTTTTCGACGAGTCAACAAGTAACATTATCCATTCAACGTTCCCTTACAATCAAGTTCAAAGTCGACGTTTAAAAAATGAAGAAGATGGTGAATTTAATTACTTTAACGGGAAAAAGAGTATAATCAATATTGACCCTAAATCGTTGACCACAGATCAACTTGAAGGCTCGTTAAGCTTAGCGATAAATCCCCTTCATCACTCAAATCTCATGTGGGGTTAAATTGTCAAGTTGAATTATTCAACAAGACTATTAATATATTGTTATTTTTTTCTAAATCATTTATAATGTTGTCAGTCTAATCATCTAATTACTGTAATAATATATTTCTGTTAAACAATTGTATTGTTATATTGTTTTCGCACTAAATATTTCAACACTCATTCAACCATTGATCAGAAATGAAATCTAATCATTTTCATTTTTCCTTATTGATTATACTTCAAATGATCGACTAATTAAGTATGAAACAAATCGATGAGAATTAGAAAATTAATTGATTTATGATAAAAACGTCAACTTGTAATTTATTTAAGTGTAAATTTATTGTTTAATACCAGAAACAATGGTTACAGTTTCAAATGGATGATTAACGAAACTTGAAAATTAATTAAACTAAAGGAGATCAATTAGAGTGAGAAAACAAAAAGATGAGCTTAATTGTAAAGATAATTATTACATTTGTAGTTATATTGTTCACAAAATTTTTCATCGAACTTGATTGTAATAAATCAATTTGATAGTCAGTTTTATGAATACAAACATGTATGTAAATTTTAAAGTGACTGAATATTGTCAGTTTCATCGATTTGCCTTGTCCATTCAAATGAATTGATTTCTCGTTCCGAGGAAGATATTGAAACAAACTTTTGGGTGATTATTTCTTTTAATTTTCCATTGATAAACATTGGGAAAATAAATCCAAGCAAAAGTCCAACGGCAATGAACAATATGATTATACCAAAAGTAGCTCCTCCGCTTGTTCCTCCAATGGTAAGTTTAAAATTATTTCTTTCATTTAATTGTTGATTTTTGTATTCGTAATTTTTACAAACTCCTGAATCAATCGGATTTGCTGATTTATCGTTAATTGTATATCCAGATAAACTACATGAACTTTTTCCATCGTTTTGAGGACAATAGTTGAACGATAAACAAAATTCACCAGCATTTGTCCAACTAGCACAAAGAGCTGCACATTGATCCAAATTTAAATTAATCTCAGTGTGAAAAACTCGAGAGACGATTTGCCGGCCAGTGGATTTAAATAGTTCTGAAACTTTCGCTGAAATAATTCAGATATTGAGTTATATTAATAAAAATATTCATTTTCTCTTCAAAAAAATATAAACAATACTTACGAATATAAATATCGCAATTGCTACTTTCCTGTGATATCGAATCAGTATAATAGCCACTCAAAGTACAAGAACCATCACATTGTTGGAATGAGAAACACTCATCAGATGAACTACACATTGAAGCACAATCATCGAGTGGTACATCAATAGCGATGCTAAGCGATTTTTTAAATTCTCTTGAAGATATCTTAATGTAATCTAATAGTCGGTTCTTTGAGTAAATTTTACAAGATTCATCTTCTGTCGTTCGCGAGGATAAATTAGCATGGATAATATTTGATGTATAACAAGAAGATTTATCTGTATACTGACAATAAACGAAAGTCTCACAAAGATTGACATTATCATGAGCACAAGTACGATAACAATCCCCAAGATTGGAAACTTCTTTGGCCGATATAACATCACCATTAGAATCAATCAGTTTCTTGTCAGTCGCCACCAATACGAAAGAGTCTCTATTTTTATCTAACTCATAAGTTACGTCAATGACTTTTGTTTTCTCATACACTATAGTATGTGTGTGTACACCACCGGTAAAGTAGATGCGTAATGTCTGACGACGAATATGATCTTCCAATTTTCGAGATCGATTTCTTTTTTGAATAGAAAAAAACTATTCACTGGATAATATACATCGCAAATTGTACCAGCATTCTCTTGGACAACTTTCTCTGCAGATTGAAGCCTACCACAAATATTGGACCTTGTATCTTCGGCATCACAAAATATAATAACTCTTGAATAGATAAATTATTAATAGATTAAATTTAAAGCTCGATAAGTTACCATGAATACTTACTCTTTGGCTAAATAGAATCCAGCTTGTTTATGGAGACACTCTCCAACTGATTCTGCAGATACTTGAGATGAACTTGAAATCGTATTCTTGGACAATTTTATTCTTTCTTTGAATACACTATCTGTCAATAAAGAAGAGCGAAAAATTATTTTCCATCTTCGATACTTACCCGAGTACCATTTTAAACTTACCTTCAATATTGGGAATTTTCAAAAAGGTGACTGATACTATGATATCTCGATCTTTAAAAGAGAGATCAATATTGACAATTCTTCCAGAAGAAATATTTTTCCCCGCCAAAGCCTTCTTGGCATTGGCGATAAACTCGTTAAAATGATTTTCCGCATATTTCACGCAGTCCAAATCTGCTGCTTCTTTACAAGTGAAATAAATTTCGAAAGTCTTTCTATCTGTAGAATCAGGGTAACAATCACTGAAACGTAATGATAATTCCACTTCGGATTCAGCCTCTAATCCATAATAATCTTTTGTAATGGATTCGATAAATTGATATGTACTCTGAATGTTTAGAGAAGAGAATTTTCATCGGTATTATCCAATAGATATTAATACAATTAATTAATGTAGTTGTTTTTTTCTCACTTACGTTATTTACTTTTTTATAATTGTTTGTTTTAGTTTTGACCAGAATAAAACCTTTGAATAACTTTGCATCAGCCTGGTGGGGATTGGAAATTTTGTCAAGATCTTGCAGAAAATTTCATGAAATTTTCAACTTCAATCGTGAAATGAACGATTGAAACGATTACTTACTGACGAAACAAAATAATGACTGGTAACGAATTTATCATATTTTTCTCCCTCAAATTTATAATCGTAATCAACTCTTTCCCAAACATAAGTTTCGTATCCCGATTCCTTTGTTTCATTTAAATAGAAAAAAAAGTTTTGATTTTCGTAAGAAAGTTTTTGATTGAAGATGTTGAAACATACGATGTGCACTTTACCGAGATACGAGTATTCATAGACATAATCGTAATTGAGAAAACCAGCAGAACTGAATGTTCCGTAAGTACTTATTCCTGGACTATTCGGACCAACACCAGAGTTCAAACAACGACCTTTACTCAGAGATACATGTACAGTTCCCAAATTATAATCGTACAGAGATTCCGTTATAATTCCTTGTTCTATTGTCTTCAAACTTGTGGTTAGATATTCACTGTTAACGAACATCTAAACAAAAATTTCCCAATTTGATAGAGAAGATTCATTCAGTTATTAAGAATGATGTAACCGAATGGATGTGTCACTAAAGATTATAATACATGTACTTTACCTCACTCAACGTTTTTGATTTTTTTGGCCCATAAACAGTTGTTGTTGCAACGAAATGATAATTAACTAACCAAGACATTCCTGGTATCTGAAACCAGTCATGAGATTTTGATGTTATCAGGTGCAAAGGACAACCGATTCCTGGTGTAACCTGAAGGTGATAAATTCTTATAATAATCGATGAAAATGTTTTGTACCCTTCTTACCGTAACAAACTTATCAAGCTCTTCTTGTGTTTCTGTAATTGAATAAATATCCAAGTTAACATTTTCTCTGAAAGTTACGAGCTGAAGAGACGAATCCATACCCTCGAACTGTAATCGACTCGCTTGTAAAATTCCAGGAGAATCTAAATGGGCTTCATTAAGAGAATTGGTAATGATAAACAATGTTAAAGATAAATTATAATACATCCACATTTGGAATATTTCTTTAGAAAATCGACTTACTTTTGTAATAATAAATAATATCAAGATTTCTATTGAACGTTGTCTTTGCAGAATGGACTGGAAATCCTCTTATATTTGTATCTCCTCCTTTTCTCTATTCAATCATTTATTTAACTTGACTTTATTATTTGAGTTCTAGAAAAGAAAATTAAATGATCACAATATTTACCCAATTTAAACTCTTTCCATTGATCCTGAACAGAATCGAAGGTCCCGTCAACAGTACATGATTAAGAAGAGGCTTTTTCGAATCGATGTTAAAAAGAAAGTTGTCCCATTGATTTTTGAAAGTAAATTTAGTACATTGTTGGTCTGTTGGTACGTAAAAATGATTAAGAACACAAAACCATTCGTAAATTATCACTTTTACAATACTTACTCTGAATAACTAATCTATCGTTTTCGAATTCACTGGAATAAAAAATATCCAACTTATCATTTCCTGATGATATTGTAATTTTACCGCGAACAACTTCACTTGAATGAACGTACTCTCGAATATCGTAAACTTCATCACTAGACTAAATTGAATATTCCATTAACTATTGAAGAATCATCGGAGAATAATTGAAGATCCACTTACCGAGATTAACTTTGCAGTTATTATCCAATTTCCTTTATCCACTGACCAAGGAAAATCATGAAGAGATTCTAAGACAATTAAAGGTTGATGTTGATTAAAAGATTTTGAATGAATTGACAAAACTTACCAGTAGATATTTGGAGTATATAAAAGTTTGAGAGAAATATAAAAGTAAACAAATTTAATAAGATTGGAATCATTTCGATTTACTCAATGAATTAACCAAAATGAAACATTGAAGTTACAAATATTCCAGAGATGAAAACTACCAGTATTTTGAATAATCACAAACAGCGATAATTAACTAATCTTGTTTGTTATGTGATGATAATCATCAATAATTAACTTGAATCGATTGCAAAAAATTAGAGTCTCACTCATTTGTTTTATTTATCAATTCTATCCAATGATTTCGGTTTTTTACCCAATGAACCGAACTGCAAATGAACTAAGAAAATGATTAACATTATTATGATCCTTGATAATTTCAAGATAGTTGAGGGTGTATTTTTCTCATATGACTGCTAACCAAAATTGAACCGGCTAAATCAAGACAGAATAGTTCACTACATTTGCGTATGAACCTGAGCATGTATATCACATGTAAGGCGTTATTTCAATGGTAATTTGTATGAGATTGGGAAAAGAAGATGAAAACGAACAGTTGAATTCAGATTGCAAGATTCTTACAACCATCGTAAAGTATTCTCAAATCTTGAAAGATAAATTGATTTAATTATAATTAGAAAGAATTTGAAATGAATAAAGTTAATGCACCAAAAGATTTTTCTTATAAACTAAATAACTTTCTTATAAAAGATTTGGCGTTTTAACGAACCCACTTGGGTTTCATTCAGCGAGTAGAGAGACAATCAGACAATCATAATTAATTGATTTATGATAAAAACGTCAACTTGTAATTTGTTTAATTGTAAATTTATTGTTTAATATCAGAAACAATGGTTACAGTTTCAAATGGATGATTAACGAAACTTGAAAATTAATTAAACTAAAGGAGATCAATTAGAGTGAGAAAACAAAAAGATGAGCTTAATTGTGATAAATTAATAGATTGTAATCAATGAGAAGCTAATTGTAAATCGATTTCAATCCAGATAATGGCAATGGTTAATTCACATGATTAGATTAAATTGGATTTAGATGAAACAATTAAGTATAAAAGTCAAAATAAGAAACCATTTAAAAAAAGATATTGATGAACCAAAGAAGATCATGATAAAGATCAATCAATTGAGTTTAAAAGTCGGAATTAAATTATCAATCATTGAAGAAAACAAACATCATTGACAATCAAAAAGTCATATCGATGTTCAAAATTATCAACATAATAAAATGATATAAATACTGACATGAATAGAGTGAGACTTGATTACTTCAGGTTGATTAAAATGGCAAAAGTGCTTAGTTAATTAATAAGAAATTTCTAGCCTAGAAATGGAGAGTAAATTGATAATTGACAAGGATACGAAATCGAATTGATGAGCAAGATAAATTTTCGATCTATTGAGGATAATCGTAGAAGTGTCGAGCATCTCCGAGAGTAGAATTACGTTTTTCTGTACCAACTGGTATTTTCGAGTAAGCAGTCGGAAGTTGACCATTGAAAGAATCTTCGAAAGGTCCAGCGGCAACTAGAGACATTGTCTTATCATGATCGACGAATCGCTGAACTGTTCCAAAAGTGGTTCCAGTGGATCGATTGTAAGCCAAAGTTCCTGCTTGAGATGCTTGACAAAATTCAAAGTTTGTCTTGGCCACGGCTTCAAGTCGAGCCTTTTTCACAAAGACAAAAGCAATAACAATAACAATAATGATCGAGGCAACACTGATGGTGATAGCGGGAAAATAAACCATAGCACCAAAAGATGATGACATTGACCCATGAACTGGACCAGCACCTCCTAAAAGTGAGGTCGAATCATAAGATGAACCTGAGAATGTTAAATCATTAAGAGATCGACCAGTTTTAGAGGTTATTATTTGACTCGGATCACTGATGCCATGTTCATTTGAAGCAGTAATGTAGAGCTTATAAATTGTCGATGGATTAAGTGAGGTCAAAGTGTATTCATTGACCTCTTTACCATCATAGGTTAATGCTAATTCCTTCCAGTCGGGTTCATCAAATTCTTTGAAATGTAATTGAATCAATTGAACAGAAGCCGTTCCAGGAGCAACATTGTATTTCAAACTAAGACTGTCTGGTGTTGTCGATAGGACTTTAAATCGAGGTGAGGGCGGAACATTGCCCAAAAGGGTTTCAGCCAAGATTTCCTGATACTCAGGTCCACTTCCAGCTGAATTATAAGCTTTGACTGTGATCGCATAAGTAGTTCCTTGACCAATGAGGTTAGCAAATATTCATAAGTGTGGTTGTGAGAAGCAGCATCAATCGTTTTCAGAGAGTGCGGTGTCTTGAAGTCACCCGCTCGTCGATAGCCAACATAATAGCCCAAAATTTTGCCGTTCCATTTATCTCGAGACGGTGGTTTCCATGAGACTCGAATAGTAGTTGGTCCACGAGCAATAGCTTGCAAATCAACTGGAGCTCCGGTTGGTTCCTCTTCCCCTGTTTCAAATTTAATGGTTCGAGAGGGTTGACCGATTCCGACCTCATTGAGAGCGATAATTTCCGCTTCATAGAAAGAACCAGGTTCTAAACCATTGATGAGAACATTGTTCATCGATGAGGTAACATTGATTTCTCTGAGCCTTTCATTGCCTCCCGGGCCAGTGATTTTCCAGTAACGGACAATATACCCTAAAATGGGTGAAGCATTGGACGACGGGGCTGCCCAGTTAAGGCTTACACTTCGAGACCAAGCTTGGCGAATCATCAAGTTCTGAGGTGCAGGTGGAGCTTCAATAATAGTAACTCGAATGTTTCTCTCATCTTTACCAAATTCATTTTCAGCTAAACACAAATACGATCCATCATCAACCAGATCAGCTGATCTAATGGTTAAAGTACTTTTGAGCCCTTCGGTTGTTGGAGTGTCCAAAATTGTGTGACGTTGATAATCAACCTTGTTCAGTATAACTGAATCTTTAGACCATCGAATAGTAATAGGCTTATCTCCTTCAGCTGAACATTCAAGTTCGAGGGAAGTGTCTCGTTTAGCTGAAACATATGATTTTTTCTCCTTGAATTTAGCCGGGAAAACTGTAAACAGAATAAGAAGCAAAAATAATCTGAAATTAGAAATCAAATGTATCAAAAGGTTGGCTGAAAATTGAGAAATTCAGTTAATTGCTTGAGAGAGGCGCTTTTAGGTCGACATAATTTATCATCAAAAGAAAAAGAAATTAATTAGTTATATTCATGATTACCAACAACATCAATGAAAATTTTCTTTGACAATGGGAACCCAATTGAATTGTTAATTATACATTCGTAGGTTCCTTTGTTTTTAACAGAAATTGATTCGAAAGAGAGAAAAGTTGAATTATTAGTTAGAGGGTTAGAAATTTGTTGATAATCATTCGGATCTTTAACTAAAGACCAAGTAACTGTTGGAATTGGATAACCATTGGCTAAACAATCAACCGTTAATTGTGAACCAGATGAGATTCTAATGTCAGTTGGTTCTTTAATCCAAAAAGGTGGAACTAAAAAAGATAAACAAAACAAGAAAAAAGAATCAGATTAATATTTATATCAACTATTCAGATTCGAGGTTCGCTAAATTAAAGTAGAAAACCTTTCATCAGTAAACTGCTTGTAAACGATTCAGTTCCAAATCTGTTGGATGCCACACAAGTATAATTGCCAATGTGTTTACTTTTCAAATTTTTCATCTCCAATATCGAGTACATTTCATGATTTCTTACATCAATATCAACATTGTTGTTATTTTCGGCTTGAATTGATTGTCCATCTTTTAACCATTCAAAAGTTATTGGCACATCTCCGGAAGATACGATACAATTAATGACTAAAATTGGTTGATTTAAATTCACTTCATTGGGAAAGGTGAAAGGTTGAATCCTGGGGCGACCTTTAAACAATCAACAATAGACAAACAAAACAAAGCATTAGTCTAAATTGAATCTAAATCATGGATACCAACCTGATGATGTTATTCCAGTTGAACTGTAGAAACAAATTATGAACAAAATCGCGGGTAAAGTTGATGGAATCATTGTCATAATTAATTGCTCTCAATCAAAGAAAACAACAATTATCACTAATAACATTTGGGCTGATATAAGATCAAAGGTATAACATATAGAACCGCAATTTTCGAACTCGCATAAATTTCATCGATTTTGACTCAAGTTCTAGATTTTCTTGCCTCCGATAACAAATTAGATCACTTTAAATAAGACTAACCAGCTCATCGTATTATCTTACCCAGAACAGTTACTTTGATTTGCTTGGTTATCGTTCCTAAATCATTCGAAGCAGTACATTCGTAGATCCCTTGGTCACTTTTTTTAACTTTTTCCAAAACAATTGACGATTTCGATGGCAATTGAAATGATTAACTGTAATAACACAAAGGATAATTGTAATTCTGAAAAGGTTAATGAAATGTTTCCATGTTATGAATTAGTTGGTTTACTTTGATCAATCTTCTTCCATGAAATGATTGGTATTGGAAACCCTCCCGCCAAACAAAACAGATTCAATGGTTGATCATGTTGAACATCAATCACTGAATTAGATGTATTCATCCAAATTGGTGGACCTGAAGAAATGAATCAATCATGAGTTAGAGGAAAAATGACCACGATTGATTGGTGTCCGACCTTTGATAATCAATGGAGATGTAAATTTATCATCACCAAACAAATTGGAAGCTGAGCAAGTGTAATTTCCAGAGTGTTTAGCTTCAACTGATTGAATGATCAAGCCGAATGCATTGGTTATTGGCTCTACAATTTGTTTGATTCCATTCTCTAAGCTATTAGTCTCATCAATTGGCTGATTGTTTCGTAACCATTGATATCTAATTGGTTGGGTTCCAGTTTCAGCCAAACAATAAACAAGAATTGATCTCCCAATCATTGGATTAGTTGGAAAATTAAATGGTGTGATCCTTGGAGCATCTGTACGGAATCAAGAACAATTAAAAGAATTAGCTATCGAGTCTATGAGATAATCACATACATACCTTGACAAAGTATAAATTGTGAACTAATTGCAAATATGAGAAAAAAATTACAGATCATAGTGAAGAGTAAATTGTCAAATTGAAACCGATACAATTTGATACAACAATGGGTAATGTCAAAGACCATTAGTCAAGTAAAAGAGTAAACAAAGATTGAACTTTGCCGCGATCTATGAAAAAAATGACGAGACCGTTTCTTCAAATGAGATTGAAACAAACTCGATGAAAATTATTCATCAAGTTCTGGTTGTGAATAGCAAGCAAAAGTGGATTACTACGGACCAAATTTCTCGAAGCAATTATGATCTAATGACCATGCAACTCTAAATACCGTCAATATCAATGTTGAATTCAGTCCAAAGATTTGGTTGGACACCGTTGGTGATTGAACATCCATATCTACCCGAATGCTTGGAATGAGCTTTTGAAATACTAAGTATTTCACCGTCGACTCTGATGACAGAATCATCAGAACTTTCAACATTTATCCAAGATCCTATTGAAATAATGGTGATTAGAATTTGTTTACAGAATAATTAAACAGTCAATTTGAATACCTTTGAAAATTTTCCATGAAATTTTAGGTTTAGGAAAACCTGAAGCGGAACATTTAACCGAAGCACTTTCACCATATTTTATCGAGCGATTAACAGGTTTTTCATTCCAAAATGGAGGTCCTATTATCGTATAAATTGAACTGAATTATTAAACAATCGGAAAAGTTTAGATAAGTATTTACCTTCAACTTTAAGTTCGATTGAATAAACATCTGATCCAAATCTATTGGATATTTTACAAGAATAGTTTCCCGAATGAATTGATGAAATTGAATCAATCATAAGAACAGAAACATCTTCACTGGTTCGAATTCTTGTTGATGATAATTCCTTAATTTCTACACCATTTTTGAACCAAAGAATATTAAAAGGCAGCGATCCTGAAAGAGCTTGACAAGCGAATGATGTCTTGCCTCCGATCAAAGGTTTGATTAATGGCGAAAATGGATTAATCTTTGGACCTGAGGAAATAATCAAAAAAATACTAATTAGAGCGAGAACTTCAAATTGTTATGATGGAACTCACTTTCTTGACCAGTACACGATAATAGTAAACAGCTAAATATAACAAAAGTGATCATTGTCCTGACCTTAAGTTAGATTATCTAAACACAAGACAAGAGACCAAGACCTTTGACTCTTTGTAAACAGAAAATAAACTTGATTTTGTCAAAATAATCTTGATAAAAGCGCCATTTTTCAAGTATCTAAAGAATAACAAAGTTTACCATCAATTGAGATTGAAAATTCGTGTCTTAAATCAGGTTCAATTCCGTTGCTTATGTAACAAGCATATTGACCTGAGTGGTTCGAATAACCTTTTCTGATTATTAATTCATCAGAATTTGATTCCAACGTTGATTCATGTTTATCAATTGGAGTCCAAAGGGATTCTAAACATGGAAGAGAAAAAAGAAAACAAATGAATGAGAAATGTTTGAATGAAGAAAATGAAACAATAATAATAACCTTTGTATCTTTGCCAAATAACTTTAGGTCTTGGAAAACCAAGAGCTGAACATTTGACCGAAACACTATCACCCATGTGAATTTTTATATTTTCGGGTTTTTCTTTCCAAAAGGGTGGCCCTTGACACAATAGAATAGCACAAAAAAAGTTAAACATTTCGTATGATAAATGTAACATTAACCTTCTTGTCTCTTTGTACCTTCAATGTTCAACTCGATTGAAAACTCATCCCAACCAAATCTATTGGAGATTCTACAAGTATAATTTCCTGAATGATTTGAAGAAATTGAATCAATGATCAAATTGGAAAGATCTTCATTTTCTCGAATCCTGATTGATGAGATTTCTCTGATTTCTTTTCCATCTTTGAACCAGATAAAAGACAAAGGCAATGATCCTGAAAGAGCTTGACAAGCGAATGATGTTTTTCCTCCAACCACTGGTTTAATCAATGGAGCAAATGGATTCACTTTTGGACCTAAACACGAAATAAATTTGGATAAATTGACAACGTTATTCAATAGTAAACAAGTAGGACTAATCACTTACTTTCTTGTCCATTTGAAACGCTAATAATAGACAAAGACAAAAGTACCAACAACATTGTTTTGCTTAAACAATTTCAGTCAACAAACACCAATCAACATAAATAAAGATTAATCTATGTGTTATATTATTGGAAAGCGCCACTTTTCAAGTTTAAAAGGAAACTTAATTGGATATTATAACATTACCATCAATCGCAATATTGAATTCGCTCCAAAGATTTGGTTCGATTGAATTTGATACTAAGCAACCATATTTTCCTGAGTGTTTTGGACTCGCATTTACTATGCTAAGCTGATTGTCGTCAATTCGTTTAAATAAATCCGATGAATCAAGAGATGTCCAAGATGAACCTGAAAAGAAAAAGTAATTTTAAAGATGAGAACATTGATCCGAATGTCTAACCAAACAAACCTTTTGAAATTTTCCATTCAATTGTCGACTTTGGATAACTACTTGCAGAACATTTGATAACAGAAGATTTACCAAGTCGAATTCTAAGGTTCTCTGGTTTCTCATTCCAAGATGGTGGACCTGAGATTAAATAAATTCGATAATCAGTAAATAATAAGGATAGACTCTTGAAATTTACCTTCCACCTTCAATTCCAGTGAACTAATGTCTGAGCCGAACTGATTTGATATTTTACATGTGTAGTTCCCTGAGTGACTTGGTGAAACTGATTCAATGATTAGATTAGAAAAATCTTCAATTGTCCGAATTCTAATTGTTGAACTGTCACTTATTTCCTTGTTATCTTTGTACCATAAGATGTTCAATGGTAAAGATCCAGCGGATGCTTGACAAGTGAATGAAGATTTACTTCCTATCACAGGTTTGGACTGAGCTGTGAATAGATTTACTCTTGGATCTGTAATAGACAATTTAAAGACATTAGTGACCAATTATATGGATGATGGTGGTTGGTACTTACTTTCCTGAGCGTAAATCCATTGGATAAAAGTGAATAGAATCAAATAACTTTTGGAAAACATCGTCACAATGATCAGACAAATGATTCGAAATTTGATCACAAAAACACAAAAGAGTCTAAAAGGTAAACAGTTGATTATAAACTAGAAAATAACAAGAAAAGCGCCAACTTTCAAGAGAAAATGTTTCTTTTAAATAAAAGATTTACCATCAATCGAAATACTAAATTCACTCCAAACATTTGGTTCTATGTTATTGGTAATCAAACATCCATAGGAACCCGAGTGTTGTTTCCCTGCCTTGGTGATGATTAGCTCATTGTCAACAATTTCCACATCATATGAGTTTAATTTATCAATTGTGATCCACTGTGAGTCTAATGAAGAAAGAAATCAACTTATTAATCAGAATGTTCCAACCACAGAATCTTAGAAAACAAACCTTGTTTCATTTTCCATATTGTCTTTGGTCTTGGATAACTAATACCAGAACATTTGATTGTTGCTCTTTCTCCAAGTGATAATTTTAAATTTTCTGGTTTAATTAACCATTGAGGTGGTCCTAGAAAGATGAAAATATCAGTTAATATCAATCAATCGAATGTAAAATCGGTTGGAAATTACCTTCAACAAGTAACTCGGTGGTATAAAAATCCTCTCCATGTCTATTTGATATCTTACAAGTGTAATTTCCTGAATGACTTGAAGTAATTTGATCAATCGCTAAAGTCGATGGTTCTTCATTTGATCTGATTCTTATATAAGGTGAATCATGAAGCTCTTTTCCATCTTTGAACCATTTGATTTGAATCGGAGGTGATCCAGATAGACTTTGACAAGCAAATGATGTCCTTCCTCCAATCACTGGTTTGATCAATGGAGCAAATGGATTCACTTTTGGACCTAAATCATAACATAAACATTAATTAGTATCAAATATTTCACATCAAAAACTTACTTTCCTGAGCATTGGTCACACAAAACCCGATTATCAAAACGATGGTTAAAGTTATCATATCTGAAGTTCTGTATTGTTGATAGATTGTTACAAATGTAAACAATTTAAAGCAAATGTTGTGATTTTGACAATAAATTGGTAAGATGAATAGTTTTTGAATAACTAATAAGACAAGAAAGCGCCAATTTTCAAGCAAATAAACTTGATTGTATTCTAGAAATAATAATACCCTCGATTTTGATCTCGAACTCAGACCAAAGATTAGGTTCGACTCCATTGGTAACTGAACAACCATATCTACCGTTATTCTGATGAGAAGAGTTTTTCACAATCAATTGATCAGCAATTCTTTCAATGTTTCTTTCGGCAATTAAATCGATGTCAATCCAATTGGAATCTAAAACGATAATCAAAATATTGTCATTAGGTAAAGAAATCAAACAAGTTTCATATTTGTACCTTTCAATTTTTTCCAATTTATTCTTGGTTTAGGATAACCTGCAGTTGAACATTTAATTTCAATTGTTTCCCCAATATGAATCTTCACATCATGAGGTTTCTCAATCCAACTTGGTGGTCCTAATTAAAAACAATTTAATAGTTGATAATAAGATGAATATATGAAGATAAAGACACTTGAACCTTACCTTCAACAAGTAACTCTGAAGAGTATGAATCAGAACCATATCTATTTGAGATTCGACATGAATAGTTTCCCGAATGACTTGATTTAATTGAATCGATAATTAACATTGATGAATCTTCAATGTTTCGAATTCGTATTTCCGATGAATCAGAAATCTCTTGTCCATCTTTAACCCATGTAATTGAAAGAGGTGCAGATCCAAAGAGACTTTGACAAGTGAATGATGTTTTTCCTCCGATCACTGGTTTGATAAATGGACTGAATGGATTCACTTTTGGAACTAAAAAGAAACAAAAACTCAGTCAAACAATTTAAAATCATGACAATTTCATAGATTACTCACTTTCTTGACCAATAATACGATCACTAATGATGAACAAAATTACCAACTGAACGATCTTCATGGTCAATCAGCTAAATTCTCAATGATAAACATATGAAATATCAAAACATTTCTTTTCTCAGATGAAAGAAATGTTTTATTTTACAAGATCCACAAAATAGAAAGCGCCGATTTCAAGCAAACTGACAATATACAAGAAAGATGAACAATACCCTCGATTTTGATGTCAAATTCTGATCAAAGATCGGGTCTGATTCCGTTCGCTACTGAACATCCATATCTACCACCAGTATCACGAGAAGCATTTGATAGAATCAATTTTTCACTTGATTGTTGGACATTTTCATTTGTAGTTCCATTGGAAGATAAATTAATCCATGAACCTTAAAAATTGATTCGAGGATAAAAGAGACATGAAAGGATATTGACAATTGAGATTTTGATATAAGAACCTTGAAATTTTTTCCATTGGATAATCGGTTTAGGATAACCTGATGCTGAGCATTGGATAGTTAATGAATCTCCCAAAGTTGATTTAACATCGACAGGCTTTGAAATCCAATTAGGTGATCCTGTTGATTGAAAGTTAAGTTTATCAGCAAAAGCAATGAAATTTCAGTCTAATGGGTTACCTTGTACAAGAATCTCAGATGTGTAAGAGTCTTGGCCAAACCTATTTGACATTTTACAAGTGTAATTGCCGGAATGACTTGATTGAATTGAATCGATAATCAAAATAGATGGATCTCCATTTGATTGAATTCTAATTGATAATGAATCGAGAATTTCATTTCCATCTTTGTACCAAGTTACATGAAGAGGAGGTGATCCTGAGATACTTTGACAAGTGAATGAAGTCTTACCTCCAATCACGGGTTTTACCAATGATGAAAATGGAGCAACCTTTGGAGCTTAAAAATTGGTAATAAAGAGCAATTAGTAAATTTCTTGAATCAGAATTTTTCATTCATACTTACTTTCTTGCTGATAGCTAAGTTTTATAACGAGAACAAAAAATGTCAAACTAGCAGAGAGTAAATGATTCATCTTCATAATTGATATTCGAGATGGAAATACAGAAAATTTTGGATAATGTTATTATAATAGAACATTAGATTTTGTCTTGTAAAAGTTGTTTTTATGTCTAAATAGATGAAAAAGCGCCGAGTTCAAGCAATATAAGTAAAGAAAAATCTTCGGAAACTTTACCTTCAATTGAAATTTCGAACTCAGACCAAAGATTAGGTTCGATTCCATTTATGGCAGAACAACCAAATCTTCCATTATCAGACCGAGAAACGTTGGTTATTATCAGTTTATCATTTTCCAATTCAATATTCTTAATTCTTGTGCCTTCCGATACAAAATTTATCCATGATGAACCTTTTAAAAAACAGGACAAAAGTAAATATAGAAAATGAAATAGAAAAGGATTTTTCCAAATTTCAGTTACCTGAGAGTCTCCGCCATTGAATTCTGGGTTTTGGGTGACCCGATACTTTACAATTTACGATAATTGTTTCACCGTGATGAGATTTTATATCCTTTGGTTGCTCAATCCAATTTGGTGGTCCTAATTAAATAGAAACAATAATTAATCAGAGATGTGACCATTGGATCAAGTATCAAGTTAACATGAACTAACCTTCAACAAGAAGCTCAGTTGTAAAAGTATCATAACCAAATCTGTTTGATATTTTACAAGAATAATTTCCTGAATGACTCGATTGAATTGAGTCAATAATTAACATGATGAATCTTCATTAGTTCGTATTCTAATTGTAGATGAGTCAGTTAACTCATTTCCATCCTTGAACCAAGATACATGAAGAGGTGGTGATCCTGAAAGACTTTGACAAGTAAATGATGTTTTTCCTCCGATCACTGGTTTGATTGCCGCAGAAAATGGGTTCACTTTAGGAGCTAAATGAGAATGAAAAGATAATCATTAGCAGAGTGAAAATAATTGATCACCGAATCTAATTAAAAATACTCACCTTCTTGTCCATAACTTGAATGACTGAGAAAGATAATTATAACTAAAGATAACTGGACAATCATTGTGTCCATTGTAAAGGTTGGTCTTAAAATGATTATATGGGAAATTTTCAAGAGACAATCTCGATAATAAGAAAGGTTTTTTGCTCTAAATTGAGTTGAAAAGCGCCGAGTTCAAGCAATATTATGTTAACATTCAGTAAATTTTACCCTTAATTGTAACATCAAATTCTGTCCATAGATTTGGTTCGATTCCGTTGCTCATTAAACATCCATATTTCCCATTGGATTCACGAGTCGTATTTTTTATGATCAACTTATCACTTAATTGGATTTGATTCGAGTACAAATTATTAGAAGGTAAATTTATCCATGATGAACCTGAAGATTGGACAAAAGTACAAAGTTTTAATGAGAGATGTGACTATTGATATAATTACCTTGGAGTCTTTTCCATTCAATTTTAGGTTTTGGATAACCAGAAGCTGAACAATTAACTGTTAGTGTATCACCAGAATGAGCAGTAATATCCTTAGGTTTTTCAATCCAGTTAGGTGATCCTAATTGGAAGTTAAAAAGATAATTAATTGTGATGTGACTACAATAATTTACCATCAACTAACCTTGGACTAAGAGCTCAGTTGTATAAGAGTCATAGCCAAGTTTATTGGACATCCTACAAGTATAATTTCCTGAATGACTTGATTGGATTGTCTCGATAATTAACACTGAAGGATCTTCATTTGATTTAATTCGGATAAATGAAGAATCATGAATCTCTTTATCATCTTTGAACCATGTTACATGAAGAGGAGATGATCCTGATAGACTCTGGCAATAGAATGAGGTTTTACCTCCGATCACTGGTTTGATACTTGGAAGAAAGGGATTTATTTTTGGTACTAGAATAAAATTCACAACAATTAGTTTTAATTATCCAACATTACACTCATATACTCACCTTCTTGTCCAAAGCTTAAAGTTGCAATAAAAGATAACCAAGCAAAGGTTATCCAGAGGTACATTGTGATTACCTTAATCTCCAACATTTGATTAGTTGATTTTAGTAGATAAACATTGGAAAACTAGACAATCTATTGGAATATTTTAACCTGAGAGTCTAAAAGCGCCGATTTCAAGAGAGATTGAGAAATGAGAATGAGAAACATTACCTTCGATTGTAACATCGAATTCAGACCAAAGGTCGGGGTTGACACCATTTGATGCAGCACATCCGTATTTACCATTGACAGATCGAGAAGAATTTCCAATTATTAGTTTATCCTTTGATTGTTTCATATTAATCATGAAATTATCATCAAGAGTTTTCCAGGATGGCCCTTTAAAAGAAAATGAAATTCAATATATTAATAAGACACTTCCAACTGAATGTCAATTCCAATACCTGTTAGCTTCTTCCATTGAATTCTGGGTTTTGGGTGACCCGATACTTTACAATTTACGATAATTGTTTCGCCATGATGAGATTTTATATCCTTTGGTTTCTCAATCCAGTTTGGTGGTCCTAATTAAATAGAAACAATAATTAATCAGAGATGTGACCATTGGATCAAGTATCATGTTAACATGAACTAACCTTCAACAAGAAGCTCAGTTGTAAAAGTATCATAACCAAATCTGTTTGATATTTTACAAGAATAATTTCCTGAATGACTCGATTGAATTGAGTCAATAATTAACATGGATGGATCAGCGTTTGATTGTATTCTGACTGATACTGAATCAGTCAATTCATTTCCATCCTTGAACCAAGATACATGAAGAGGGTGATCCTGAAAGACTTTGACAAGTAAATGATGTTTTCCTCCGATCACTGGTTTGATAAATGGACCGAAAGGTTCACTTTTGGTTCTGTAAAGTTTTAAGAAATATCACTAAATTGTTCAATTTTATATTCGAGATATTTTCAAGTGATACTTACTTTCTTGTCCACTTATCAAGAGAAAATTAGAATTCAAACAAATGAATGTTATGAAGATTAACATGATTATTGAAATAAAACTTCCCAATAGACTAGATGATCTAATACTTCCTGAAAATGAACAAAATACTCTTCTCGAAAATATCATTGTCCTAATAGACAAATTGTCTGCCTTAACCATAAAAGCGCCGTTTTCAAGTAATATCAGAATAGAATGAGAATTATCTCTGAGATATATTAATACCTTCGATAACAACATTAAACTCTGACCAAAGATCAGGTTCAATTCCATTTGATACCGAGCATCCATATCTACCATTAAGGTCACGAGAAACATTGGTTATGATCAATTCATCGTCGAATTGTTTTAAATTACTACCAGAAAGGTAATCAGAGGGGAAATTGGTCCAAGAAGAATCTGAAATGATTGAAATTCAAATATTAATATCGAAATTCAGTAGAAAGTTTAGTAGTTTACCTTTGAATTTTTTCCAAATCACTTTAGGTTTAGGATAACCAGAACTGGAACATTGTAATTTTAGGGTTTCATGTAATTGTATTTTTGTATCTTGAGGTTTTTCGATCCAATTTGGTGCACCTAATGAATTATTAATACGAAGATAACTGTCATTGTCAGTTTGTTCATAAAAGTTAATTTCGTACCTTCGACAAGAAGCTCAGTGGTAAAAGAATCTTGTCCATAAGGATTGGAGATGGAACAAGTGTAATTTCCTGAGTGCATTGAAGAAATCGAAGTTATGATCAACATGGATCCATCTTCATTAGTTCGAATTTTAATTGTAGAATCGAAAAGTTTCTTTCCATCTATAAACCAAATTATCTCCAATGGCGATGAGCCTGTTAGACTTTGACACGTAAATGAAGTTTTACTTCCTATCACTGGTTTTACCAATGATGTAAATGGAACCACTTTTGGACCTGAATAAAAAGACACAAAATCAATTAATGAATTAATCATTTAATTATTTACTTTAATTACTTACTTTCTTGTCCATCAGCTCCGATGTAAAGTAAACACAATGTCACAATTGATAAAATCATCTTCCAATAAGATCAATCGTAAACAAGACTCAATCCAACCTAAAAACAAATGATTATCAAACTGTCTCGATGTCAAAGGTAAACAAGAATATCTTTTTGTCCATTTTGAACATTTCACGAAAATATCATATAAAAGCGCCAATTTTCAAGCATTAGAATAATAATTCGAGATTGATAACATTAATTTACCCTCGACTGAGATATCAAATTCAGCCCATAAATCAGGTTTAATTTTGTTCGTAATCAAACATCCAAATCTTCCTGTATTGCCACGAGTTGATTTAATTATTTCTAGTGATTCATCCTTAACAGTAATTTGATTGTTTGGTGAAACATTGATCCATTCAGAGCCTTGAGTTAAATAATAGAAATCAAAAGAAAAATAAAAGTCGAGTTAAATGTTATTCCCATTGGAATGGATTCACAAACAAACTTTCAAGTTTTTTCCATTCAGTTTTTGGTTTGGGATAACCTGATGCAGCACATCTCAGGATAATTGGTTGAAACAATTTAGTTTTGACATTCGAAGGTTTATCAATCCAATTAGGAGGACCTAAAATATCGGAAAATAACAAAATTAGTGAAAAAAATATAAACGAAAATACGAGATTTACTTGAAAGAAAATCTTACCTTCGATCAACAGTTCGGTACTGTAAGAATCTTGTCCATATCTATTTGATATCTTACAAGTGTAGTTTCCAGAGTGAGCTGAATTTATTGAATCAATTAATAGAGTTGACAATTCTTCACTATTCCTGATCTTAATTGTAGGTAAATCTTTTATTTCTTTTCCATCCCAAAACCAATTAAAGTGCAAAGGCAATGATCCCATAAGAGATTGACAAGTGAATGATGTTTTCCCTCCAATCACTGGTTTTATCAATGGAGCAAATGGATTCACTTTTGGAGCTAAATTGTGAGATGAATTTAATGATTATCAACTGTTTGTAAATCAAATTTGTACTTACTTTCTTGTCCACTCACTTGGTTTCCAAAAAAACAAACAAAAGTTAAACCAAAAACAATCATTTTGTTTAATTTACTACAATCAATTAATTTTCTACAAGTTAAGAAAGCTTCAAGGTAATCATATGTTTTCACATCACTTTTTTGTAATCAAATGAAATTATTTCGAAACGAAAAGCGCCAATTCCAAGTTAAATGTTGGTTCTCCTTTCACTCATTTAACCATAATACTCGAAATCAGCCCTTCGATACAATGAAATGCTCAATAATTGGTCTTCTATCTGAAACAATGAGACAATCGATTAAGTTTCAAAGGTTATTATAAATGCTGGAGATCAATTGTTAAAAAATTCAACGGGCAAAAAAAACCAAAATTAATGAGAAAATAGAGAAATGAAAACTATTAATAAACAATAACAACTCTTTATTTCTGTGATAAAAAATTATCTTTTTCACACCCTAACACTAAAAAAGCACTTAACTTTATCAAATCATTCGTTCAGATCTCAGATCTATTGTTTTCTGTGTTAAACTTATCGATTTCTTGGGAAAAAAAACTTCTCGTGATAATGAACCGACAATAGAAATGAATAAATAACCATTTTCATTTATCATCGGGACTGCAAGTTTCAACTAACAAACCGAATAAATTAAATTAGTTTCGTGAAGTTTATTCAATTTCTTTAACGTTTAATAGTTTTACCAAGATGATTTATTCAATATCAATAGCATTGAGATTCGTCTTAATTGTTCAAACATCGGTTCTCATTGTTTTTGCAGGTGAATATTCAAGTTAAATTATCTGAGTAACGCAACTAAATGAATATCAACTCAATTATATTTCAGAGCATCTTAATGATTTACCCTGGTCGGTCGATAAGGGTAATTGGATAATCGAAGCAAAATTGTATAAAGTAAGTGATACGATCCTTTTTGTGCCAATAGTTACCGAAAACTAATATACAATTCATCTAATTAGTCTTACAACGAGTTTTATGACATTCGTGAGTATATTTACTCGAGTGATGTTGTTCGTGGTAAGATTGAAATTAGTCATTTATCTGGAAACGACAAACTCGATATTTTTTATTCCAGTGGTTTCAAGTACGACAGAATTGTAATTCATGGTAAGAATATTCAGTTTCAAGGTTAATTCGATTATTCACTGATCTTCTTCATTCTCACTGGTCATTTTCATCAATAGATAAACAGTGTAGTCAATATACTTTCAGCAGTTTTAGAAAAACTTGGAGTAGTGAATTATTTTCATCTAACTGGACACAACCAATACTTAATCATTTACTATTGACCGGACCTTCGATATTGTTCAGATTGTCCAATTCAAAATTGGTTTGGGTAAATATCATCGCTCTCATTGAGATCAGTTAAATCAACGGATTTTGTAAATTTATTGTTGGCTAATTTAAATAGACAAAAGAACCCGACGCTGAAATTAGAGGATTTTTAGCTCACTCTGTAAGCTCATCGATTGGTGGTATAAATATAATGTCATATTATAAAGGTAAGATCATCATGTATGTCTATGTATTTTTCTTTGTTATTAAAATCTATTGTATCAGGTCACACGGAACAATCGTTTGGACCATTAAATACAGAGCGATTACAATTTGAAGGATCTGACAATTCCTATCAGAGAGCTCAACGTGAAGTTTTTTATATCGATATTCTTAAAATTACGAAAACTGATGAACAGCTCGATAAAATTGTTACTGTAAGATTTTCAAAAAATTCGTCATTCAAAACGTTAAAACTTTCACATCTCTTTTCAGGTTACACCAGGATATGGTTGCTCTAGTTATTTGGTTAAGAAAGGCTCAAATCAGTGGATAGATCCACCTAACATGGTACGATATTCATTTCGTTATATTTCAAAAGTTTATAATGAAGGTATCGAAAAGTCAATCACACAGAATGAGGTAAGAAAATAGTATTGTATTTTTTGAGTTGTTATAATTTGCTAATTAGTCAATGAATACTTCAGGTTTTCGTAAGTAACAATTTGAACATAGTCGGTTTGAAAACAATCAGTCAAAGTATTACAACTGAGGCTATTTATGATTACACATTGGGGATCTATTATACTGAGAAAGAAAAGAGTAAATGCTCAATATTACCTATTGGGCCTGGAAGCCTAGGTTTAGATGAAGATAACAGACTATCGTCCGATTTAGTCTTGAATTATCATGATGTCGATAAATACAATTATGTTGGTAAAGTTTTCCTTGTGAGTATTGATGATATGAGCCAAGAAAAGTTAAATGATCTAATCTCGTTGAATATATTTGCTTTGCAACAGAATTCTGAATCAAGTTATGAAGCCCATGTTTGGGAAACTACCCTCAATCATTATCAAATTGGAGGAAAAAGTTATGATAAAGTTGTCAACACTCAATATTTTGTTTCTTCGGTAAGTTTTTCCAATAGAGGTTTCAATTAATAACTAATTTACTTTCACAGCCTGATGCCGAACTTTTCAGAGGCTTTGTTCTCGTACGAACTACCCTAAATGGTCTAGCAAAATCATCAAATGTAAGTATTAACAAGTCTATTATTCTTAAGCTTAGTAATACTGTTTGTATTTCAGGGTCAATATGAATTAGTAGATTCTACGAGAATTGATTACTTTAATCTGGAAGCAAAAAGCTCTGATGGTGACTTTGAGAGTAATCTGTTGATGCGTTTGAGTGATTGCTTTCCAATCGAATCAAAGAAAACTTTTGCATTTCATTTAGAATGTGATAAATGTAAAGATGCTGATAAGTGTGTCAAATTAGCAGCGAGTGAATATCCAGTTTTCCTTGGTACTACTCGAAATTTTTTTAGCTCAAGCACAATTTCCGTTTCTCGACTAGCTGAAATTGATCTCATATTCCAAGATAAGAAGATGGTTATATTAATAACCTTCTTAGACGTTCCGGATATGAAAGGTTAGTTAATTTTACTCTATTTTTTTAATTCCGCTCTAACTGATAAAATCTCACTTCTTTTTAAAGTGGCTGTTCGTTCAGAAAACATTAAACTTTCTCAGAATACGATATCAAACGCACAGAAGAAGATTGAAGTTCGCTCAGAAACTGAGTGTCTTCAAACACAAGCAATTCTCAATTATGAAGATCCTGAGTAAGTAAATGATAAATGATTAAATGATTTTCACTTCATTAACTGAATCAATTGTTACCACCAAAAGGGTCGTTCTTTATTGTGAAGACTCTGGATCTCGAATTTGTGGACGATTCATGAAAAAAGAAGATATCAAGAAGGATGAAGATAAGGGAATCAATTGTAAAGTATATTACCCTTTAGTGGGGATTCGAAATTTTGCACGTGAAACTCCTCTAAATCATTTGGAAGAATTTCTGAATTCAAGAAAATTAAGGTATCATCTTATGACAGAGAGGTGGGATCTTGTGATTTTAGATCATATCAAGTGACCGATGTAACTGATCAAAACTATCAGACTAAAGAACCTTTCAAACAAGCTCTCGTGGGCGCTAAGTTCTCTCAGAATATCGTTGATGTCATTCAGGCTAAAGAAGTTTCCAATTTGGGTGATTGTTATCGTACCTGTGCTCATGATGAAGATAATTTGTGTGAAACTTTCGTATTTTGTCAATATCCAGACTCAGTGTCTTGTCTCACATCCAATATTATTTTTTCCACAAATCTTGGAGTATCTACTGATTTAGTAGCTGATCCCTCATGTAAAATCTATTCTAAAAATAATCTTTTGGATTACATCAAAATACCTTCGAGAAAGTTTACAAATCCAAGTTCTATCGCTATTGATGTTCAAGCTGAAGATTGTGCGACTGCATGTAGTGCTTCAAATGAGTGTCTCTCATTCCAGGAATGTGGATACTCATGTACTTTCGGTGGTTATTACACTGATTCAATGTCAACAAAAAGCGACGATTGCAATATTTATATTCGTAAGTACAGTTTATAACCATCTATGCTCAAAGTTCAAGTTTTATATCTAATTTAATATCAATATTCTTCTAGCAAAAGTTTCACATAAATTCGCTTTCAATGGAAAGAAAATAATCTGACGTTTTCCACGCCGAGGTTAATCTAAATTTGGACCAATGTGCTCTTTGTCATAGTTGGACAAATGCTGACGAATCTTGTAAATCGTTCAACTATTGTCCTCAAAATAATGCAACTTCCTCATGTAGCTAACTAAATATTCAATCAAAGATAAAACGATTCAAATCAGTGATTCAAATGTTTGCCAGAATTATGAGCTGAAACAAAAATCGAAAAAGGCTAAAAACGAAGATCAAATCAAAACCACTGGAGGAATGAATGGAAAAACTGCTTTCGGCTTAATCATATTGTTCATGACGATTGGACTTTTAATTGGATTCGCTTTTCCTTTATTCATTTATGGTAAATTGTCAACATCAATAACCCAAAGAATATCATCAAGTGAACAAGCAACTAAATCATTCACATGGTCCAAACAAGTCGATGATGTCGATGAAAAATCTGTAATCTGATTCGATAAAATAAAATATTATTATCACTCTTTAAAATTAAAATCGAAAAGATAAATTCAATTTCCACCGTATTTAATTTCTATTGTGTGATATGATTATTATTAACAACGATGATCAGTAGAGATTAACTCTAGACATCTATTTGGATCGATTGTGTGTGTTAATGAATTATTTCAAACGGTAAATCAGTTCATCTTTCCAGGTTATTATGATTTCTGAAGATCAATCGTACGAAAATTAGACAGGCAAAAAAAGCAAAATTCAATGGTTAATTGAGAAATAAAAACAATTAAATAAACCATAACGACTCTTCATTTCTGTGATAAAAAATTATCTTTTCACACTAACACTAAAAAGCACTTAACTTTATCAAATCATTCGTTCAGATCTCAGATCTATTGTTTTCTGTGTTAAACTTATCGATTTCTTGGGAAAAAAAACTTCTCGTGATAATGAACCGACAATAGAAATGAATAAATAACCATTTTCATTTATCATCGGGACTGCAAGTTTCAACTAACAAACCGAATAAATTAAATTAGTTTCGTGAAGTTTATTCAATTTCTTTAACGTTTAATAGTTTTACCAAGATGATTTATTCAATATCAATAGCATTGAGATTCGTCTTAATTGTTCAAACATCGGTTCTCATTGTTTTTGCAGGTGAATATTCAAGTTAAATTATCTGAGTAACGCAACTAAATGAATATCAACTCAATTATATTTCAGAGCATCTTAATGATTTACCCTGGTCGGTCGATAAGGGTAATTGGATAATCGAAGCAAAATTGTATAAAGTAAGTGATACGATCCTTTTGTGCCAATAGTTACCGAAAACTAATAAACAATTCATCTAATTAGTCTTACAACGAGTTTTATGACATTCGTGAGTATATTTACTCAGTGATGTTGTTCGTGGTAAGATTGAAATTAGTCATTTATCTGGAAACGACAAACTCGATATTTTTATTCCAGTGGTTTCAAGTACGACAGAATTGTAATTCATGGTAAGAATATTCAGTTTCAAGGTTAATTCGATTATTCACTGATCTTCTTCATTCTCACTGGTCATTTTCATCAATAGATAAACATTGTAGTCAATATACTTTCAGCAGTTTTAGAAAAACTTGGAGTAGTGAATTATTTTCATCTAACTGGACACAACCAATACTTAATCATTTACTATTGACCGGACCTTCGACATTGTTCAGATTGTCCAATTCAAAATTGGTTTGGGTAAATATCATCGCTCTCATTGAGATCAGTTAAATCAACGGATTTTGTAAATTTATTGTTGGCTAATTTAAATAGACAAAAGAACCCGACGCTGAAATTAGAGGATTTTTAGCTAACTCTGTAAGCTCATCGATTGGTGGTATAAATATAATGTCATATTATAAAGGTAAGATCATCATGTATGTCTATGTATTTTCTTTGTTATTAAAATCTAATTGTTGTATCAGGTCACACGGAACAATCGTTTGGACCATTAAATACAGAGCGATTACAATTTCAAGGATCTGACAATTCCTATCAGAGAACTCAACGAAAATTTTATATCGATATTTATAAAGTTACGAAAACCGATGAACAGCTCGATAAAATTGTTACTGTAAGATTTTCAAAAAATTCGTCATTCAAAACGTTAAAACTTTCACATCTCTTTTCAGGTTACACCAGGATATGGTTGCTCTAGTTATTTGGTTAAGAAAGGCTCAAATCAGTGGATAGATCCACCTAACATGGTACGATATTCATTTCATTATATTTCAAAAGTTTATAATGAAGGTATCGAAAAGTCAATCACACAGAATGAGGTAAGAAAATAGTATTGTATTTTTTGAGTTGTTATAATTTGCTAATTAATCAATGAATACTTCAGGTTTTCGTAAGTAACAATTTGAACATAGTCGGTTTGAAAACAATCAGTCAAAGTATTACAACTGAGGCTATTTATGATTACACATTGGGGATCTATTATACTGAGAAAGAAAAGAGTAAATGCTCAATATTACCTATTGGGCCTGGAAGCCTAGGTTTAGATGAAGATAACAGACTATCGTCCGATTTAGTCTTGAATTATCATGATGTCGATAAATACAATTATGTTGGTAAAGTTTTCCTTGTGAGTATTGATGATATGAGCCAAGAAAAGTTAAATGATCTAATCTCGTTGAATATATTTGCTTTGCAACAGAATTCTGAATCAAGTTATGAAGCCCATGTTTGGGAAACTACCCTCAATCATTATCAAATTGGAGGAAAAGTTATGATAAAGTTGTCAACACTCAATATTTTGTTTCTTCGGTAAGTTTTTCCAATAGAGGTTTCAATTAATAACTGATCTACTTTCACAGCCTGATTCCGAACTTTTCAGAGGCTTTGTTCTCATACGAACCACCCTAAATGGTCTAGCAAAATCATCAAATGTAAGTATTAACAAGTCTATTATTCTTAAGCTTAGTAATACTTTTTGTGTTTCAGGGTCAATATGAATTAGTAGATTCTACGAGAATTGATTACTTTAATCTGGAAGCAAAAGTTCTGATGGTGATTTTGAGAGTAATCTGTTGATGCGTTTGAGTGATTGCTTTCAAACGAATCGAAGAAAACTTTGCATTTCATTTAGAATGTGATAAATGTAAAGATGCTGATAAGTGTGTCAAATTAGCAGCAGTGAATATCCAGTTTTCCTTGGTACTACTCGAAATTTTTTAGGTCAAGCACAATTTCCGTTTCTCGACTTGCTGATATTGATTTTATATTCCAAGACAAGAAGATGGTTATATTAATAACCTTCTTAGACGTTCGGATATGAAAGGTTAGTTAATTTTACTCTATTTTTTTAATTCCGCTCTAACTGATAAAATCTCACTTCTTTTTAAAGTGGCTGTTCGTTCAGAAAACATTAAACTTTCTCAGAATACGATATCAAACGCACAGAAGAAGATTGAAGTTCGCTCAGAAACTGAGTGTCTTCAAACACAAGCAATTCTTAATTATGATGACCCGGAGTAAGTACTTTAAATAATCAAACGATTTTCACTTCATTAACTGAATCAATTGTTACCAATAAAAGGGTCATTCTTTATTGTGAAGACTCTGGATCTCGAATTTGTGGACGATTCATGAAAAAAGAAGATATCAAGAAGGATGAAGATAAGGGGATCAATTGTAAAGTATATTACCCTTTAGTGGGGATTCGAAATTTTGCACGTGAAACTCCTCTAAATCAAGTGGAAGAATTTCTGAATTCAAGAAAATTAAGGGTATCATCTTATGACAGAGAGGTGGGATCTTGTGATTTTAGATCATATCAAGTGACCGATGTAACTGATCAAAACTATCAGACTAAAGAACCTTTCAAACAAGCTCTCGTGGGCGCTAAGTTCTCTCAGAATATCGTTGATGTCATTCAGGCTAAAGAGTTTCCAATTTGGGTGATTGTTATCGTACCTGTGCTCATGATGAAGATAATTTGTGTGAAACTTTCGTATTTTGTCAATATCCAGACTCAGTGTCTTGTCTCACATCCAATATTATTTTTCCACAAATCTTGGAGTATCTACTGATTTAGTAGCTGATCCTCATGTAAAATCTATTCTAAAATAATCTTTGGATTACATCAAAATACCTTCGAGAAAGTTTACAAATCCAAGTTCTATCGCTATTGATGTTCAAGCTGAAGATTGTGCGACTGCATGTAGTGCTTCAAATGAGTGTCTCTCATTCCAGGAATGTGGATACTCATGTACTTTCGGTGGTTATTATACTGATTCAATGTCAACAAAAAGCGACGATTGCAATATTTATATTCGTAAGTACAGTTTATAACCATCTATGCTCAAAGTTCAAGTTTTATATCTAATTTAATATCAATATTCTTCTAGCAAAAGTTTCACATAAATTCGCTTTCAATGGAAAGAAAATAATCTCTGACGTTTTCCACGCCGAGGTTAATCTAAATTTGGACCAATGTGCTGCTCTTTGTCATAGTTGGACAAATGCTGACGAATCTTGTAAATCGTTCAACTATTGTCCTCAAAATAATGCAACTTCCTCATGTAGCCTAACTAAATATTCAATCAAAGATAAAACGATTCAAATCAGTGATTCAAATGTTTGCCAGAATTATGAGCTGAAACAAAAATCGAAAAAGGCTAAAAACGAAGATCAAATCAAAACCACTGGAGGAATGAATGGAAAAACTGCTTTCGGCTTAATCATATTGTTCATGACGATTGGACTTTTAATTGGATTCGCTTTTCCTTTATTCATTTATGGTAAATTGTCAACATCAATAACCCAAAGAATATCATCAAGTGAACAAGCAACTAAATCATTCACATGGTCCAAACAAGTCGATGATGTCGATGAAAAATCTGTAATCTGATTCGATAAAATAAAATATTATTATCACTCTTTAAAATTAAAATCGAAAAGATAAATTCAATTTCCACCGTATTTAATTTCTATTGTGTGATATGATTATTATTAACAACGATGATCAGTAGAGATTAACTCTAGACATCTATTTGGATCGATTGTGAGTGTTAATGAATTATTTCAAACGGTAAATCAGTTCATCTTTCCAGGTTATTATGATTTCTGAAGATCAATCGTACGAAAATTAGACAGACAAAAAAAGCAAAATTCAATGGTTAATTGGGAAATAAAAACAATTAAATAAACCATAACGACTCTTCATTTCTGTGATAAACAATTATCTTTTTCACACCCTAACACTAAAAAAGCACTCAACGTTATCGAATTAATTTTAGCAGCAATCAACTAACTGTAAGATCTATTGTTTTCTGTGTCAAACTGATCAGTTTCTTGGGGGAAAACTTTTCATGACGATAAGCAGACAATAGAAATGTATAAATATCCTAACCCATTCATCATAATAACTGAGTGAGAGTTAAAAGTTTCAATTAACTAATTAAACGCAGCAAATTATTTCCGTGAATTTCACATAATTTCTTCAACAACTATCTTTCATAAAGATGATTTACTCAGTATCGATAGCATTAAGATTCGTCTTAATTGTTCAAACATCGGTTCTCATTGTTTTTGCAGGTGAATATTCAAGTTAAATTATCTGATTAGCGCAACTAAATAAATATCAACTCAATTATATTTCAGAGCATCTTAATGATTTACCCTGGTCGGTCGATAAGGGTAATTGGATAATCGAAGCAAAATTGTATAAAGTAAGTGATACGATCCTTTTTGTGCCAATAGTTACCGAAAACTAATAAAAGATTCATCTAATTAGTCTTACAACGAGTTTTATGACATTCGTGAGTATATTTACTCGAGTGATGTTATTCGTGGTAAGATTGAAATTAGTCATTTATCTGGAAACGACAAACTCGATATTTTTTATTCCAATGGTTTCAAGTACGACAGAATTGTAATTCGAGGTAAGATTTTTTAATCTCAAGGTTAATTTGATTACATTTATTTACTTGTCATTTTCATCAATAGATAAAAAGTGTAGTCAATATACTTTCAGCAGTTTTAGAAAAACTTGGAGTAGTGAATTATTTTCATCTAACTGGACACAACCAATACTTAATCATTTACTATTAACCGGACCTTCGATATTGTTCAGATTGTCCAATTCAAAATTGGTTTGGGTAAATATAATCGCTCTCATTGTGATCAGTTAAACAACGGATTTTGTAAATTTATTGTTGGCTAATTTAAATAGACAAAAGAAACCGACGCTGAAATTAGAGGATTTTTAGCTCACTCTGTAAGCTCATCGATTGGTGGTATAAATATAATGTCATATTATAAAGGTAAGATCATCATGTATGTCTATGTATTTTTCTTTGTTATTAAAATCTAATTGCTATTGTATCAGGTCACACGGAACAATCGTTTGGACCATTAAACACAGAGCGATTACAATTTCAAGGATCTGACAATTCCTATCAGAGAGCTCAACGTGAAAATTTTTATATCGATATTTATAAAGTTACGAAAACTGATGAACAGCTCGATAAAATTGTTACTGTAAGATTTTCAAAAAATTTTCTTCATTCAAAACGTTGAATCTTTCACCTCTCTTTTCAGGTTACACCAGGATATGGTTGCTCTAGTTATTTGGTTAAGAAAGGCTCAAATCAGTGGATAAATCCACCTAACATGGTACGATACTCATTACATTATATTTCAAAGGTTTATAATGAAGGTATCGAAAAGTCAATCACACAGAATGAGGTAAGAAAAGAGTAAATATTTGTATTTGGGGAGTTGTTATAATTTGCTAATTTACCAATCAATCCTTTAGGTACTCATGACTAATAATTTGAACATAGTAAGCTTGAAGACAATTAGTCAAAGTATTACAACTGAGGCACTTTATGATTATACATTGGGGATCTATTATACTGAGAAAGAAAAGGGTAAATGCTCAATATTACCTATTGGGCCTGGAAGTCTAGGTTTAGATGAAAATAACAGACTATCGTCCGATTTAGTCTTGAATTATCATGATGTCGATAAATACAATTATGTTGGTAAAGTTTTCCTTGTAAGTATTGATGATAACGGTCAAGAAAAATTAAATGATCTAATCTCGTTGAATATATTTGCTTTGCAACAACAGAATTCTGAATCAGGTTATGAAGCTCATGTTTGGGAAACTACCCTCAATCATTATCAAATTGGAGGAAAAAAGTATGATAAAGTTGTCAACACTCAATATTTTGTTTCTTCGGTAAGTTTTCACCTATTAACAATCCAAAGCTTCAATTTATTCTACTGTATTTTCACAGCCTGATGCCGAACTTTTTAGAGACTTTGAACTCGTACGAACTACTCTGAATGGTTATAAGAAGTCATCAACCGTGAGTATTAACAAGCATATGATTCTTTAGCTTACTTGTTAGTAATATTGTTTATGTTTCAGGGTCAATATGAATTAGTAGATTCTACGAGAATTGATTACTTTAATCTGGAAGCAAAAAGCTCTGATGGTGACTTTGAGAGTAATCTGTTGATGCGTTTGAGTGATTGCTTTCCAATCGAATCAAAGAAAACTTTTGCATTTCATTTAGAATGTGATAAATGTAAAGACGTTGATAAATGCCTCAAATTAGGAACAAGCAAATATCCGTTTTTTCTTAGTAGTACTCGAAATTTTTTTAGCTCAAGCACAATTTCCGTTTCTCGACTAGCTGAAATTGATCTCATATTCCAAGATAAGAAGATGGTTATATTAATAACCTTCTTAGACGTTCCGGATATGAAAGGTTAGTTTTTCTCTTTTTTTATTAAATTTCACTTTCGACTGATAAAATGTTCAATTCAATTTTATTTAAAAGTTGGTGTTCGTTCAGAAAACATTAAACTTTCTCAGAATACGATATCAAACGCACAGAAGAAAATTGAAGTTGAATCAGAATCTTATTGTCTTCGTGCACAAGCAATTCTCAATTATGAAGATCCTGAGTAAGTAAATGATAAATGATTAAATGATTTTCACTTCATTAACTGAATCAATTGTTACCATCAAAAGGGTCATTCTTTATTGTGAAGACTCTGGATCTCGAATTTGTGGACGATTCATGAAAAAAGAAGATATCAAGAAGGATGAAGATAAGGGAATCAATTGTAAAGTATATTACCCTTTAGTGGGGATTCGCACTTTGGCTCGACAAACTCCTCTGAATGAAGTGGAAGAATTTCTAAAGTCGACGCCTTTAAGGGTATCATATTATGACAGAGAGTTGGGGTCTTGTGATTTCAGATCATATCAAGTGACCGATGTAACTGATCAAAACTATCAGACTAAAGAGCCTTTCAAACAAGCTCTTGTGGGCGCTAAGTTCTCTCAGAATATCGTTGATGTCATTCAGGCTAAAGGAGTTTCCAATTTGGGTGATTGTTATCGTACCTGTGCTCATGGTGAAGATAATTTGTGTGAAACTTTCGTATTTTGTCAATATCCAGATTCAGTGTCTTGTCTCACATCCAATATTATTTTTTCCACAAATCTTGGAGTATCTACTGATTTAGTAGCTGATCCCTCGTGTAAAATCTATTCTAAAAATAATCTATTGGATTACATCAAAATACCTTCGAGAAAGTTTACAAATCCAAGTTCTATCGCTATTGATGTTCAGGCTGAAGATTGTGCGACTGCATGTAGTGCTTCAAATGAGTGTCTCTCATTCCAGGAATGTGGATACTCATGTACTTTTGGTGGTTATTACACTGATTCAATGTCAACAAAAAGCGATGATTGCAATATTTATATTCGTAAGTACAGTTTATGACCATCTATGTGAAAAGTTTATTCTAAATTGTTAACATCTCTTCTAATAATATATTCTTCTAGCAAAAGTTTCACATAAATTCGCTTTCAATGGAAAGAGAATAATCTCTGACGTTTTCCACACCGAGATTAATCTAAATTTGGATCAATGCTGCTCTTTGTTATAGTTGGACAAATGCTGACGAATCTTGTAAATCGTTCAACTATTGTCCTCAAAATAATGCAACTTCCTCATGTAGTCTAACTAAATATTCAATCAAAGATAAATCGATTAAAATCAGTGATTCAAATGTTTGCCAGAATTATGAGCTGAAACAAAATCGAAAAAGCTAAAACGAAGATCCAATCAAAACCACTGGAGGAATGAATGGAAAACTGCTTTCGGCTTAATCATATTGTTTATGACGATTGGACTTTTAATTGATTCGCTTTTCCTTTATTCATTTATGGTAAATTGTCAACATCAATAACCCAAAGAATATCATCCACAGAACAAGCAATTAAATCATTCACATGGTCCAAACAAGTCGATGATGTCGATGAAAAATCTGTAATCTGATTCGATAAAGTAACTTGATCATATTCTTGTATTAAATTAAACAAGTTACTACATGTATTTGATTAATTGGGAGATGAAAGGATTTAATGTAAATGAGAAATTGAGCAAATTAAACAAACAAGTGACAAGAACATATGAAGTTCAAGATATTGAATGAGTTATGGATAATTAATACATTTAAATGTCAAATCGATTGGATAATTAAATGTTGACTAAATTAATCTAGACTAAATTATCAATTGGCGCAGATACAGTTAATACATCAACTATCTTGACAATTCAAATGTTTGTAAAAACTAATTAACAAGCTAAAAGCATAAAAGTGCAAAGATTAAAACTACAATTTAAATATGAAAAGATGGAAAGTCAATGAGATCTTAAATAATTGTAAGAAATTCAATACAATTAAAATTGTAAATGATAAAAGGGTAAATAAAGTAACAGCTAATTGGAAGTTTACTGTTACTGTGAATAGTTGGCAGTTCAATTGGCGATTAAGTCAATTGATTTATCGAGGCCAATCATATACGTGAGTTGGATCAATCATCTTTGAATGTCGCTGTGGAAATAGAAAATAAAAAAGATTCATTAGTAATTATAGAGAGTGAAACAATTTAAAAATCAAATACATTTTCTGGTGGTGAATTCGAGTAAGCAACAGGTAATTGATTAGTATGGTCAAGGTTGATTGTTCCATGCATCAAAGGCTTATTATTGTCACCGTCGATGAATCGTCTCTCAGTCCCAAAGTTAGGAATCGATTTGTTTAGTTGGAGAGTTCCTGTAGCCAAAGCGAACTCAAAATTGGGCTTGGTTGCAGCGTCGAGTTGAACTTTTCTCACATAAACAAAAGCGAAAACAATGACAATGACAATAATGACCACGGCGATGATGATTGATAAGATTGAGACAAAATCACGATAATCACCGAACTGACCACCACTAGATGGATCGAAAATTGAACCAACAGCATATGTTTCTCGGTGTATTCGTAAGGTTCGTGTTTTGATAATGTGACTTGGATCAGAAATGCCATTTTCGTTTGTAGCAGTTAGATAAATTGTGTAAACAGTGTCCGGATTAAGAGATGTCAAAGTATATTGACCAGATTCTTTATTCTCGACAAAGAAGTCCATTTCCCGCCAAGTGACATCATCGCCTTCCTTGAAATGTAGATCAAGATTCTGTATTTTAGATCCAGCCAAAGGAATTGAATATCCTAAAGTGATAGAGTCAATTGTCGCTGATGAAACAAATAGTCGAGGTGATGGTGGTACATCACCAGCTAAAGTTTCAACGGTGACCTCTTGAGTTTCCGGTCCAGTTCCAGCAGAATTGTAGGCTTTCACAATGATTGAATATTTGGATCCTTTGAGCAGAGATGACAAGAAATATTCATGATGAGAAGCATTTGATTGGATCATTGATACCGTTCGAAATGAATGTGGAGTCTTGTAATTATCAAATAGTCGATATCCAACGTAAAATCCAAGCAATTTACCATTCCAAGTATTTCTTAGAGGCGATCGCCAGGCTATTCGAGCTGTTGTTGGTCCTCTTGAAATGACATGAAGATCAACTGGAGCTCCAGTGGGCTCTTCTTCACCGGTGATGAATGTCACTTTAGCCGATGCTGGTCCTAATCCAACTTCATTGACTGCAATTATTGAAGCCTCGTAATGACTTCCTGGTTCAAGATCTTTAACCAGGTGAACTGATAGAGATGATGAAACATTGACTTCATTGAGACGATCGTTAACACCGGTTGATGAAACTTTCCAATATCTAATCAAATAGCTGAGAATTGATGTTTTACTATCCAATGGTTTAGACCAAGAAACTCGAACAGTTCGAGACCAAACTTGCTGAACAGCGAAATTCGTAGGTGCAGGTGGAGGTTCAATTATGGTTACTCGAATTTTCCTCTCATCTTTTCCAAACGAATTTTCAGCAAAACAATGGTAAAGTCCATCATCTTTCACATCAGCTGATGAAACGGTCATGATACTTTTAGTTCCTTCTTTATTTGGAGCATCGGTGATTGAATATCTCGAGGGATCGACTTTATCAATTGGAGTTGAATCTTTGAACCATTTGATTGT